TACGGAGTAGGAGTATAAAGAGCAATGAAGAGGACAAGAAAGAGACATACAGGGATTAGCGGGTTATTGCGGGATGGCCATGCCAAATCCGGAGCTTTAAGATACGATCATTGATGATTTAGAGAAATGAGTGAAGATGGTCAAAAGTTTAGAGCTGTAAGCTATTGCAGGTATTAAAATCCTCTGTGGTGCTTTATAGACGCGGTTCACTTACATTGCATGACGGTGAGCTCTAGCCGAGGCCTGAAACTGGCGATCAGCGCCCGAAGCCGGTCTTCCCCATCTACTCCGTACTTAACCATCCATCTCCCAAATATATCATGATTTGGGATTGCCTGTCATTTTAACTTCTTCCAGAGAAGCACCAAACACAAATATGATCGGTGCGACGAGGCGCTGGTTCCAGCGCAATCGCAAAGGTCTTGCAATCGGGGCTGGGGTGATAGGAGCTGGCTATTTGGCCGGACAATACCTGCTGTCTAAGATCTCCGAGGCGCGGGAACGCATGAGCAGCGATCGGATTGCTCGCGAGAAGTCAGTTTCCCTTGTTTTTGATGACTCCTATTCCTCCGCTAGCAAGCACGCGAGCTTGTAGCACGTGAAAGCCCGACCAGCATACCCCGGACCGGAATCACTGACCCATGGCAATAGTTTGCGCCGACGATTCGAACAAAACCAGACCGATTGCACATATACTGTCCTCGCGTTATTGCCGACCGCCGCCGAGAATATTATCGATGCCCTCCCAGTTGAGGAGTTGACCAAGGAACTCCAGCAGAAGCGAGCGGAGAGGTTGGCTCGGCTGAATGCAGGAGAGGCGACTGGGTCAGATCTGAGCTCGGTTTCCCCGAGTATGCCGGACGAGGATCGGAGGAGCCTCTCTAGTTTCCAGAGTGAAGGATATGTGCACGCAAGCCAGGCCGGCGATGCTCTGAACTCGGACGCACAACCTCGGCCCAAACGAAACAAGACACAGCTGTGGAATGAGGTGAAGATTACCTGTGAGTCTGTTTCGTTCATCATAAAACCTCATCTGTCAGAAATTAACGTTTCCTAGCTATCACGCGGTCTTTTACTATGATCTACACTCTCTCCCTGCTCACTGTCTTCACTCACATCCAACTCAACCTACTCGGCCGCCGGAACTACCTGTCCAGCGTGATCTCCCTTGCTACACCACCTGCGAACGTCTCGACAATCAGTCTTGAAGACCACGATGATGAACTCACTCAGACATTGGGCGATGACTTCGAGACCAACCGGCGTTACCTCGCCTTCAGTTGGTGGCTGCTTCACCGCGGGTGGAAGGGTCTAATGGGAAGAGTGCAAACTGCCGTAGAGGAAGTATTTGGACCTTTGAATCCACGCGAGGATATCAGTTTGGCCAAGCTCTCTGAGTTGACCTTGCAAATCCGCAAGAAGGTGGAAGGCAGCACCGAGGACGAGCGACGATCTCAAAAATGGCTTTCTTGCTTGCTTCCCCCGGCAGAGGAAGAGGAACATGTCTTGCGCGAGTCGGGCGTGGAAGGCGTAGCCGACACAACCTCTTCCCAAACGGCATCGAAGCTGCGACACCTCCTGGATGAGACGGCGGATTTGATCGACTCTCCCTCTTTCTCCCTTGTCCTCACACTTCTTAATAACGAGGGATTCTCAACCCTTATCGATCAAAGATGTGCCGCTGACGCCTTCAAGGCGCCCACCTCCGCACCGGAGACTGCCCCGCAGTCCTTCGATTCAATTGCCACTGTTGTGCCCCTGGCTGCCAACTCCGAGCGCAAGACAAAGCTTGCCAATCTTCTGGCTGTCATGACTCGCCAAGCACATGTGATTGGCAATGGTGCCCACCCACCAAATGAGTATCTGGTCGCCATGGACCAGAACGTGCGTGAGCTCGAAGCCTTCTCTGCCGTGGTCTATAGTTCGAACTTCGACCTCGAGCTTCTTGGTGCCAAGAACACAGCGGTACCGACTAGGGAGACGGATCTAGTCGATACTGAAAGTGCTTCATCGTCTTTCTCCGAGATGATAGTTGAGAAAGAGGACAAAGCAGATTTAAAGGAGGATATAAATGAGCCACAATCACGCAATGCCTTGCCCGAGGAGCCAGCCTTCAACGAGCCTGCGCCTGAGCCGTTGGCAGACTCAGCATTTGAAGAGGCTTGGGGCAAGGCCACGGATGATGGGAGCATCTCCCCAGCAGGAGGAAACCAGCCCGCACAGTAATACGATGAAGATATATTCAATCCTGATGGCGATTGTGTGATTCTCTACAACCTTACTCCCTTGTTTTTCGCACATCGCTGTGGGTCTGGTTTCTATCTCCACTGCATACATTATCTTTGCGATAGAATTGTGTTATGTTAATGATATATGTCAATTCAACTATCTATTCCTAGTCAGTTCTCTCGAAAATTCCTACTAGCGTAATATAGCTGTGCATGTTTTCTCTACGTCGATTATCGAGGTCCTGAACCCTACGGTTTAGCGAGCATGCCATTGTACAATCCTATAGTGTGAGTGGAGCGGCGGGGGGCTTATGCTTGGGGATAGTGGCGCTGAGACACCCAAGGCGAAGTCTTAAAGAGATTATGGAGCCATATTAGGTATCTGCAAATAACAAGCCTGGAAAGCAAAGGATATGCCAGACATATGCGCCAATCCCGCTAGCCTCGGGACTGCAAATTGTGACATGCAGATGTTTTTGCGTCTACTTAGTATAACAGACATAGTTCATACTACATACTATGTCCTATATCGCACCTTTTTTTCCCCACTGTCACACAATGGTCTCTGTCCTCGACCGGTGCCTTGTTCTGAATGCCAATGTACGATCAGGCACAGGCACTTCTCCTTTGTGTCTCTGTACAAACCTGGATACGCTGAAACATCTTGACGTCATGACTATATATTTTCCTTTCGCAGCTTCCGAGCTCCACCAATGAGCCCACTTCGTGTGGCGCAGCTGTCTTTTATGTCGCGCAATTGAAATTTTATCGTATTTGACTATACGGAGATGGACTACACATGTATTGAGGTAGTGCGTTTAAGGCCTGATTTTCGCCCTATTAAATAAAGGGGTTGAAGCATTGCCTTAACTATGCCCTTTCTTTCAAGGGATAGTCCAATTATGCATCAATACAGCCCTGGGAGAATCAACCCGTAGCTGACGAGTACTCTGGATGGCGGCTATTTGGAGTGATTTCCCTGTACGTGGTACTCCGTAGAAGTTCCCCTAACGACATTTTCTCGCAAGGAGGTATACCCCGCAGTGCGCACAGGTGCAACTTGCACCGTGCAAGTATCAGCCATAATAGGGGCCGGGGCCGATGGCAGCGGGCTGATCATTGGGCTGTATCGACCTAAGGGGCTTAGATTATGCATTAGAAGCCAACACATCCCATAATAAAGGATATTGTCCCTGTGTTTAGGAGTATATACGGGGCACGGAATAACTAGCTTATGCTTATATGCAATTAAATATCTAGGCAAGCATTATAGCACACGCGGCAGTCCCCACTCACATGGTCGTTCTGCTTATCAAAAAGGGCTTGATCTTCGATATTCCCTCACTAGAGAGGGCTAGGTCTAGTAGCAGATACTCGACGTTCTGAAACGCTGGCCAGAATTCAATTGTCTCTACTAGGGACGACACGTGGGCCAAGTACATCTCCATATCGGTTGGTGAATCCAGCAAGATGGATGACACAGTGGGCCATCTAGTTCGATCTGATCGGCACTAACATTATGAATCAGCATCATGTACTTATCGCTTGCACGAGTGGCAGCAGATAAGCACAACTTGAAGTCGCTCGGGGTCCCCGACACTAGCTGCCATGCTGTCATTTCCAATTTCCCGCCTAAACTGAGACCATAGGACACGGGGCGCCTGTAACGGACATAGCAAGATATCTGACTGCAGTCCCTGGGACATAGGAGAAGACAAGGGCAGTGTAAACTGGCATTGTCGATAGGGTACTTGTTGCTTCGGAGTTACCGGCGGCTGGATGGTGGAGCCGGCTGATGGCTGTAGCCCCTGTTATGTATGGTGTACGTTGACTGGGAATCTAGAGGCCCATGACTCGTACCATCATACTAAGCATTTTTGCAGAAGACTCGTTAGTTAGTTATCCTCAGTGGGAATAACCAAGGATCCTGCGAATATGATGTCGCTTTCAAGTGTTCACATGCTCAGGGGTAAATTTGTAGGGTTGGCATGTCAACGTAGCATTTATCCACGAGGAAAAGCCTGTTCTGAAAGAAAGAAAGACATTTGACATGAAGAGCTGGAGAGAGACAACAATTTGAAACATCTTGAACTGTAACCGTATACCGTAAAGTACCCAGCCTCAGGTGTGGCTGAGCTAAGTACTCCACCCGCAAAATTGGGTGGGAAGGTACTTCTAAGGTTCCTCCGCCGTGTTCCGTATCGTCCAATCACCTTGCTCGACCAAGGAACGGCCGGTCAGAGTCCTCAAGGATTCCCCCGATGTGCCCTGTCTCTCCTTAAGACCTGCCCATCCCAACCATTCCTCTGCATTCGACATTTATTGGCAGACTCCAGCGCTGATTTGTGCTTCTTCGTAATTCTTCACTTTCACTGCAGTCACCGAGATCGCACCGAGATCACCTCACGATTGAGTTCAGGACTTTGTGTCGTCACCCTCGCCTCAAAATTGCCCCGAGGATCAACCCATTGCACATCTACAACGCCTTGGTGCCATTACACATCGAAGGCCTCTACTCTCAGTCTTCCGCTTAAGACCTCCCAAAGGGGATTGTGGCGGCTGCATACTGCAGTGGGCGCTGGGGCCGCATTATCTCCCTATCCGCCAGCCGCGCGCATCGGAAACGCAGCGTTTCAAGTCATCGTCACGAACCATCCCACATCCTGAAATAACACCCAGTGCACGTGCACGTGCACTCACGACCAAACCGAACTCCTAGGACAGCGGCCTCGCACATTGGGATATTAAGACCGGTGTACTATCCCGCCCAACATGACTGACTTTCGAATGCCCCTCCATCAAGGGCCTCCTACTCGGAAGCCCCTCTCTGGTGCCCAGTATGGTGGATATCAGTCCTACGATTCTCCCCGACCTCAACTTGCGCCCCATCTAGCGAGCCCGCAGACCACGCACAGTCGGACTCGAACCACATCCTCCAACGTGTTGCCCTACTCAAGCGGCTCTCAGCCCTACCACGGCACTCCCTCACCTCCTATGTCTCAAATGGCTCTTCCTCACCATCCACCATCTCGCCGCATGTCTAGCACCACTACCTCGACCTCGTCTACCAGCAACCACCCGGTACACACGGGAAACAGTGTTTCTGACATCCGACGAACTGCTTCGGCTCGCTCTGCCAACTCTCAGCTTGGATATGTGGCCCTCATGCGGCGGCAAAAAGCTACCGTATGGTGTGACCGAGCACAACCTGAAGACGCTAGATTGCGCGAACAAGCCCTGCGGGACAAGAAACGAGCATACCTTGAAGTTCATGGCTCAGGCGCTGGCCGGTCAGGAACCTTGGCTAGTGGCAAGATTCGACATGGTCCTAAGGGAGCTGCTGAATTTTCACCCTCAAACCTAGTGGGCGCCAAAGTCCCCGTGCGACTCAGCGCGAACGAGGTCGGTGATGGGGACGATGACACTCTCAGCAGCGAGGGTGGCGCAATTCACAGACGGACCGGTAGCGGCCGCAGCTCTCTGGGAAGTGCCCACCGCTACCCAAGTGGATACTCGCGGACACCGGGAACAATGGGCAGCAACAGCACGCCTCCGAACGAAAGGACGGACCTTCCAGAAGTATCCGAAAATACACCGGCGGAGATTCACGAGGAAGAAAAGAGCCGACTGTCATACCTCCACAAAGACGATGCCGCCACAACACACAGCAGCGAACAAGAGCAAGAAGACTTTGTTGGCGACATGTTGGGTCCGAATGCCGGCACTGCGGCAGCCGATAAAGCTCTCAAAGCATCCGAGTTACGACGACGAGGCAGTGTAGACGAGCGAACTACTTCCATGACCAATGTGCGACTTTTCGTCGCAAACCCCGATTCAGACAGCGACTGATGCCCTCGTTCTCATACGGCATCTGCCAACTCTTGTATCCTTCATCTCCTTTCCATATCCCCCCGCCTTCTATCTTTTATGATTTTCACGTGGTTTCTCTTAACGCCTCGTCAACTGCACATAATACCTATTTCGTTGCAACTCCACACCTGACCCCATTCGGCAAATCTTGATGGTTTAGACCAATGCGTCCTTCTGCTTTGTCCATATCTTTGCACGTTTGCTGTCTGATTTACTCCTTTTCATTTAAAGCGCCACATCTCTGTTTCTCTCTAGGCTTCCCTCTTTCTTGTCTCGTTGTATATCCTCGATCGCACTGCTGGTCTCCATAGGTTGGCTTCCTGGCTTGTCTTCATCCTTCTCCGGCTGCATACGGGCCGTCCTGGCGTTCGTCATATGGCCTAGCTTCTCTTAATTTAGAGATAGTACCTAATTTCAACCCAAAGATCATCTCAATTCGTCTTGCATTTAGGATAACTTGTGTGGAGTGGTATGGGCTTTTGTTGTAGCTTCTTGCATAGGATAGAGCAAGGTAATTGAACCACGACAGTAACAGAAAGACAAGCAACTTGAAAATATTGAAAATATTGGAAAACACACAACATCATACTCATTCCATATTGACCTTGGGAGTCCACAATGATGCCATAAATTGTACAGCATACTGAAAACCCCCACATAAAACGGCGCCCATCGGGCACTTGGGCACTCGGCCCTGCCCAGCCCTGGAGGTGGGCACATATATTGGTTACATAAGCACACACGTGCTTATCGGTCGCGAGCGCGAAACGATTAACGCGTCCCAGTGTTGGCCCATCTACTCCGTACTCCATATGTTCATCAAGCAGCGAAGTCGATATTCTGCGATTGAAGACCAGTTGTCTTTTGTCTGTCTCCTTAAGTCGCGCTTTCCCCTGATTGGCACGACCTAAACCACTCATGAACTGAAGTCGCGATCTATCACACGACAGTCTGTCCCCATCGCCCCTTCCTCACCTACCTACGCTCCTGAGACTTCGGATTCCTACATAACCAACTCTTTCCATCCATTCTGGTTTCAATGGTACCCAAGACATCTCTATCGCCGATGCAGTCGGTCCGGTCCTTTCCCGCACCACCTTCACCTTCATCCGGTCCCCGAAAACGCTCAATTCACGAGGTTGATGATGCCGATATGCCCTCGCCAAATGCGAAGCGACCATTGACTGATTTCGACGGCGGAAATCAAGAAAATCGCGATCCATCTCTTGCCTCCCAGCCTGCCAACACTACTCCCCCGCAAGTTCAGATCAAGCGTAATCTTCCACCTCCCCCTCGGTCGAAATCGTGATGAGAAGGACCGTACATAAACAAAATGAAGATGGTGCTGGGGAATCAACATCCCCAGACACCAATACTGCTTCTAATCCTGAGCTTGATACCCTGGCCTCTAAGAAACGCAAGGTAGTATCTGCTGGCACAGATTCCAAGCAACAAGAAAAGGAAGCCAAAGAGCGCCAGAAGGCCGAGGAGAAGGCGAAAAGGGAGGAAGAGAAGGCGAAGAAAGAAGAGGAGAAAGCCAAGAGAGAAGAAGAGAGGCGCCTGAAGGCAGAGGAGAAAAAGAAGCGCGACGCTGAGCGTGATGAAGAGAAACGACACAGAGAGGAAGAAAAGCGCAAGAAAGATGCCCAACGTGAAGAGGAGCGCAAGCAGCGCGACGAAAAGAAGAAAGCAAAAGAAGATGAAAGGGCTGCCAGGGAAGCAGAGAAACGTAAAAAGGACGAGGAGAAGGAGAAGAAGACCCGAGTAAGTGGCATTGACAATTGGTTTAGCAGCAAGCTTCCCATATACTGACCGATCAGTCACAAATGAAACTAAACTCTTTCTTTACCAAACCATCGGTACCTTCGACCTCCTCAGGACATGTATTCACGGCTCCTTCGCCTAAGAAGGCATCTACTACTGTCGATTCCTCTTGCGAAACTCGTGGCGCGCAGTCTGACTATGAGCGAGAGTTTCCTGCTTTCTTTCTACAATCGCATACAGTTGTGGCACCCCCTCATCGGTTCGAGCGTGACACCGAAGCCCTCAATCACGTACACGAAACGATCGATTCATGTCTACGCAACGAAATCCACACCCAAACACATCCATTCCGTCCCACGGAAGTCTTCCAGATAATTCCTTTCCGTCGCGGGCGTCAGCCAACGATCTCTGTCAGAGACATACTATTACAGCTACAAAGGTCTGACGAAACTCAGCCTACTCAAAATCAGAGCATAATGCCATCTCCAAGGCCACAAGAACTTCTACGCAAGGTCACGATGAAGTCTCTCAAGTTTGGCGAGGACATCCGCCCTCCCTATCAAGGAACTTATACCCGTCGCGTGTCCGAGTTATCCGCGAGAAGACTTGCCCGAAATCCTTATCATCGAGGGCTACCGGATACCGATTATGATTATGATTCCGAGGCGGAATGGGAAGAACCCGAAGAGGGTGAAGAGCTGGACTCTGAAGAAGAAGATGAAGGCAGTGAAGAGGGCGAAGATGATCTTGAAGGCTTCCTAGATGACGAGGATGATGCCCTTGCCGAAGGCAAACGTCGTCTTATTGTTGGTGATCTAGAGCCTGTCTCTACTGGAATCAAGTGGGCTGCCAATGGGGTCGAGCCTGAAATGAAAGCCTATCGGATGGAGACTATATCCGATGGGGTCAAGTTCCCCATCGACCCTTTCTCGACTGCATATTGGGAAAGAGCTAAGCCCGTGGATCAAGTACTTGGGAAAGCGCGACCCGCGACAGCCCTAGACGGCTTCCTTGTTCCTGCAGTCCCTGGGGCCGTGGCGACAGGCAGTGCTTTACCTCCCACATCGAAAGCGAAACGGCCATTCCCGCCAGACCAACTTGCAGAGTTCAAGGAAGCTGTTGAAGGCAGCGATCTCAGTAAGATTGGATTGGTCGAGATTTTGAAGAAACGGTCAGTCCTATCATCTCCGCTAAGTTCCGCTTCTATTTGAGCATATGCTAATCCGGGTGTATCTAGATTCCCCAAGGTGTCCAAAGATACACTTAAAGCTACCCTGGACCAGGTTGCTGCTCGTGTCGGACAAAAAGAAGTGGACAAGAAATGGGTTTGTCGGTGAGAGTATGCTGGATTACCTACACGAGTACCTATGAACGGAGTTTGGATGTACCTAAGCATTTGTAATGTCACCATGAACGATTCACCTATCATGATCCAACAGATTTGCTTTTTTATTTATTTTAGGAGTCGGGGTATCCCGGGTTAGCTGCATGAAATCAATGCCGGTTGTGCGTGTCGTAGGACGATGTATATAAGCCAGGATGATACCCTTGCATGTGCGCATGTTGCCACTCTATGACATCTCGTATTTCTCGCCTTTTAGGCCTCAGTGGGTGATTTAATAGGCTCTCCGATCCATATTTAGTATGTCGCACATATGTGTAAAATAGGCCTTTAGGATACGTAAGAGCAGAAAGTACACGTCTATAAAATCCGAGGGGCGCATGAGGGGCGCATGGACACCTCATTCCCTGCACTGCCAACGCATCGTCTCGTTGTACTCGGTACCTGGCCCTTTAACCCTGCTAGCGTCGTTCTTATAAGTCGTTTCTACTTGGCTTTTGGCACTTTTGTAGTCTGCAACTGTCCGTTTCGAGGATTCCCTTTTTTCTATTCAGAATCCCGGCCTTTTTTTTCTGGTTTTATACTCCGGGTTTCCATTAGTTACCTATTTTTACTTGGATTTGAAAACAAACCCTTCTTCCCTCCTTATTTTTTTCCCTTTTCCTCTTCCCCCGCCTTTTCTTCCCACACAGTCATCCTGGAAACCACCTGTTCCGCCGATCGAGTGCAGTGTCACTCTGAGCACCTGAGTTTCATTTCAGAATGCGATAGGGATCCGTCGGCTAGGGGGGTTTGCGACTGTCTGTCGCTAATGGCAAGATGGTAGAACACCAAGAGGATCATTCGTCCTCTTTGCATTCTACAACCAGTACGTCATTATGTTTTTGCGCATTTTCTCCCTTATATGGGGCTGGGACGCTGAAAGAGGGGCGCTCCTATCTTTATACCCCCTTATTGTGATTGCAGCCCAATCTGACCAGCTCCAGCCGAGCAAATACCTACTTTCCCCAAGGTTAATATACCATGTCCCTTGTCGTATCGGGCGCAAGATCCCGCATCTGTGCCTTTACCTCCTTCACCTCCGGGATCTCCAGTCATGTCGCCCACATTCGTCAAATCTCCGTTGAACGTGGGGCCAGGTGAGTTGGGTGGCTCGGGCCGTGCCAGTGCCACGGTAGTGGCCGCTCCTTCCAATGGACACAATCCCATACCCGCGATGGCTTCTATCATACCTGTACTCGTGGAAGATGTCCCTCAGATTTCATTCGAGGATTTTGCCACTCGCTACCACCAGAACCAGCGCAAGCAGGCCCAAAGGAAGCGACTGGAGAAGCGCCTGCGTGCCACCAAAGTGTCCATTGGCGTCTCTGCGCGTATGGTTCGTGTCGGGCTGACTGCACAGCGAGGTCTCGTCGAAGCCCTCCGCCATGATGACAAGGCCAGTTTCGTTGCTCTCTACCATACACTCCAAGACCTCCAGGAATCATGCTCTGCACCCGCTCCCAACGATGGCCAGACCGAAGACTCCATGGACGGGGAGCCATCCTTGGGAACTGACATTGGCCGTTTCCCAGATTTCCTTCATCAGCTGAGCCCTCAGTCTCGGACGGACTTCCTGGAAATTTTGCGGCTGGTCCGCTCTGATCCCCAGTTTTTGGTCGACCGGTTGCAAAGCCTGTCGTCGTCCCAATTGGCTGCTTTTACTTCTCCTGCCACTGCTTTGGATACCAATGATCCTGCGTTTCCTTCCACCTCCCGGGCCCGGGCCCAGTCTTTCTTGAACAAGAGCCAGACTCAGTCCACTGCCTTCAAGGACCACGCTTATGCCTTTGAGAGGACTGACCCATTATCTGTACTTCTTTTTAACGTTTTTGCCGCTCCCTTGGACCCAGGGACGTCTGAAGCCCGCTTGCGTATGGAAGTGTGGTCGTCCGTCTGCGCTCAACTAATGTCCAACGGAAGTAGTAGATACTATCCTCTGATCGGCCAGATCCTTTCTTCCTGGACCACCGACAGCACTTGGAAAGCCCGCTCCAAGTTTGAACTCTACCTGATGGACATTTTACAAACCGGTGCTTTTCTCCTAGAGCCCATAGCCACTCCACCCGGACTGGATTTTGCCATGGACTCCCTGGACCCCATGCGCACGGATGTTGCAGAGGAATTCTTTGCTTCCGCCGTGGATGGCTTGTTCTCTGTACTTGATGACCCGGACGGCGGCTTTCCTCACGCCGTGCTGCAGTTTGCAAGAGCCGTTTTGCGGAAGCTGAATAACCCCGAGACCCGCAGGCGCTTCCTGGAGTTTTTATTCCTCCAATGGTTCTTTTCCAAGTTCCTCTATCGCGCATTGACCTATCCTGAGGTATATAAGCCTCTAGCCCTTGGTGAACTTGCGAAACTGACTCCAATTTGTTATTGCTTTGATAGACCCACGGTCTTCTCTTAGATTTCCATATCAGGAAGGATGCCCGCGAGAAATTGCTGAACCAGGTTGGACACCGTGCCTACGCTCAAGTCTTTGCTGTTATGCGTTCAATGTACGTCACCTGAATCCTCTGCCGATGCGACACCGTTGCTAATCTCTTCAAGGAATCATTTCTCACCCCCTCGTCCGATAATCAAGGACAGTATCGAGAACATGCTCTCTCGATTCCATGATGCGATGCCGTCAAAGGTCTCGATTGATCCTTCTATTCCCTCTTCACAGGCACCACTTCGACGAAAGTCTTCTTCAACTTTCTTGATGATGTCTGCTTTGGATGTCCTCACACTCCTAGACACTCTCTTCCAACAGACGCCTTCTTCTTTGCATTCCTCCCCGGCATCTGCAGGAGTTAATTCTTGGCCATCCAGTCCACCATCTTTCAATCTTCGGCCAGACTCACTTACAGATTCTGGATTCGCTCGTTTCAAGCACGACACAAGTTCAAAACATACATCCAATATCGGTTCCATATTCTCTATGGAGACTCATTCTATCTTCCCACCGGAAAATAGCCTGTCTGAAAAGGCCGCTCGCATTCGATTCGAACTAACCGACTTAGACCATCCCAATGAGCGGTTGAGCTTGGAGCATCCCTCCGATGAGCATTGGACTATCTTCTCAGTTGCAGCAGACGGCCATGGCTTAACATGGAGCCTCCTCCCTGATAGTAGATATGAAACGTCCAAGGGCCCGATAATCGAAAGTGAAGATGACACCCAGTCCACGACGCTAGGCCTGGAGGAAAATCACGAAGCATTACAGACCGCGATCCTTCGACTTGTCCAAGAGAACCGCATTCAAGATGTGGGCGACTACGAATTCGTTTCACGGAATACTACGCAGCCGGCCGCCATGTCCCTGAAGCAGCGGTTCAACGAAGCGATGTTCTGCTGCCATCATAACTCTGATTTTGTTGGCGCACACTACTGGTGGAATGCTTCACAGCAGCTTGGGCAACGGGGAATACGTAGCTCATCGAGGTCGACACACGATTCATGGATCTTGGGCCCGATGCATGAGAATTATAGTCGCTCGCTGATCCAATCACGAGCTGTCATTGAGCGTTGCGAGAGTGACTTTGTGTCTCTCGATCACAGTCTCTGCCGACTCCAGACTCAAGTCAAAGACCTGACGGCCACCTTTTGCAAGATCCGAGACAAGATGTGGTACATGAGCGACGTCAAGAACTCCATCAGATATGAGGAGGCTAAGCACGTGGCTATGGCTTTGAAAACGATGATCTACTCAGCCCGTCTCTTCAACCAGTACCCCGAAGAACAGCGTTCTCGTTACGGAGCACGTTCTTTGGGTGGCTCCTTGTTCCAGAAACCCGAAGTGCAAGTTATGAACATGATGAAGGCACCCAGTAGCCAGGGTGGACCGAATAAGCTGTCTGACGAGCAAGTCGAGCTGACCCAGAAATGGTTATCGCACAATGGCATCGACAATTTCTGCAAGGGAGAAGAAAGAATTCATCGATTCTGCTACGAGGTCCGAATGAGCATCAATAAACTAGTGGGTGAAACGATGACCGAGACACCGGTGTTATGGGCAAGTGAACTTTTCCAGAGGGAACGCTCAAAATATGAGGGTTACTCTCGCACATTCCCAGGAATGTCCATGCCGAGCACTCCTCGGCCCTCAACGACCACAAGTGAGGACACAAACTCTGCTTCCCACTTCTACGGTGCCAATATACCTATGCTCGATCCTACGTCTCGTCTTTCTCCAGATATCCCATCATTATGTCACAAGCCCTCTTTTCAAAGCATTATTTCCGATAAATGGAGGCCTCAGCGTGACTTGCCTGCAGTTGACATGTCTTCTCTCGGAGGCTCACCAGGCCGTGCTGCTTCGACATCTACTGGTGACACCTACAGTACATTCTGGTCTGCACCCCAGAAGCACCCCATGTATGCCGCAAGCGCGTCGAGCGTATACTCGCGACCACCCTCTATGTTCAGTGAGACGGCAACCCGTCAGCTCCGTCGTGTCGAACGCAAACCGCATGGGAAGACGGTGTTCATGGATGACTTGAGACAGACACTGACTAGTCTCCTTTTGAGCGATCTGGGATCTCCGGTATGGAGTTGCGGTAGTGAGACTGACGCCTGGTTCACCAATGCGCTGAACCAGAAACGCATTCAGGTGGAAATGCGCCGACGAGCTGCTGTCCAGAAATTCTACGTCGATTATGACGAGCGCTCTCAGCATCTTGGTCAGCAACGTGGTTCACTGAAAGGTCGCCGGAGCAGGTCTATGGGTAACCTTCGTGAATCTCAATACAAAGCTCCTCGTGTGGAGCCCTCGTCGCAGCTACCGCAGACATTTATGGAATCGGACGGACAGTCGGCATTTTCATACAAGGCGGTCTTCCGCCGGCTGATTGAAGTGTTCTCGCGTCATGGAAATCCCTTTGTGAAGCTCAACGCGTTGCGGGACTTGCGTTCCTTGGTGGTTGCGTCGCTCATTTCGCCCCAAGATCCCAATTCCCCTACTGATATCAACTC